AATTTGTTAAATTGAACCAGTATAATGCTTTTACATTGATAAATATCTTGTTAAACCGGATCTAGCATACTCGTTAACGTTTATGAATTGTTTATTTTAATTTTTCCTTACAATCAAAATTCTTTTTATATTTCTACAAATTCATTTAAATAGATAATGAATAGATAATAGATAAAAAAAAAAAAAAAAGAAAGAAAAATTTCTCTAATGTTGATCATAATAGATCCATTTTGAAATAGCTTTGAATTTAGTTTTTGTATGAGGAGCAGATTTAAAAAAAAAAAAAAAAAAAAAAAATAGCGTATTATTATGCCCACAAACGATTATTCGGACAAGAAATTTGATATTTGGACTTCTTATAGATGGGTCGACCAGTTTCTCAGTATTTACGCAATCGTTGCCCAGTTTTTACCTCGTCGAAAGGCGAGGGAAAGGCCGGAAAAGCTCGTTTCATTCCGTCACCAAGAAATGGTCAAGTAGGACGTGGGTTGAGTAATATTATATTTGTTAATTGTGAAATATAATCCTGAGGTCCAGCTGAATTCTACCTGTGTGACGTGGGAAGTCGGTTTTCGATTTTCCAGATGTAATCTCGATGCGGATTTCGATCATCGATATTTCTGATAGTATCATGTCTTGGACAAGGTATTTATAAAAATACTTCACAAAGCAAAGATCATTTCTGCAAAATGAAAAAATATAAATCACTTCTGTATAACATTATACACATATTTTCTTGTACTATTTTCTATGTATTATATATTTTGTACATATAATGAAATTAATTATAAGAATGTTAGATTCTTATTAATTAATTTACAAATCAGAAGAAATTTCCGAATTTTTTGTTGATTTTATTTTAAATTTATCCAAAAGAAAATCCTTAAACAATTCTTAATTTCATAAAAATATTTTGTGGAAAAATCGAAAACGTGAAAAACCAGATGAATACACGCATATGTTGCTCAAGTTCGACACTGTGGTCCATAACCGGATATGAGTGGACGGTGCACGCAACAGTTTCCCTTGAAAATAACATGTTCAGGGTGCATCGCTCACCGGCTCATCGATGTTTTGCAACCCGAAGCGTGGGAACATCGATCGCCACGGTTCACCCCCATTTTTACCTGTTCCAGGGATTTGCCAGAAGATGAAATACTATCTAGACACCGAGGGATGAAATTAGGCAGCTTAGCATTCAGAATGGACAGGGGCCTTTCAGCCGGTTTCCAATCATTTTCAAAACGTAATTCTTTCCTCCACCGGACCGGCGATCGTTCCTCCTAACGTTTTCGTAAAGGGTATTTCGAATGGATCGCATTATTACCAAGCTTCTCGATACATAAAACGTTGTCCTGTAATAGGATTTTCATCGATCTCGAAGGGGAAACGGATCTCGAAAAACATCGACGGAGATCCGCGATTAATCTGTGAAGTCATTCGTCTGTTCAGGAGTAGCTGGAAAATGGAGAGAACTTGTTATTAAAGATATATAAAAGATTCGTGGAATTTTTTTTTTCGGACAACTGAAATCGATATTGATCATTATTTCATCCGACTAGCTTTGCATGGAACTAATAATAGAATCAATTTACAATAAAAGTTAGAAAATATAAAAATTATTTATATTTTTTGAAAGGCAATTGATTCTTAGATAAAGTTTTTATAATTAATGTAATAATCTGTTAGAAAAATGTAGACATTAGAGAATCAATGATATTTCTAGATATCATTTTGGGATATAAATTAGATGGTAAAATGTAAATTAAAAAATTTATAAATCAAAATTTTCAATATAAATACACAACATAATTTACCTAAATTCATTATTGAATTCCAAATAATAGGACTGTCACTACACCAGAGAAGATCTATCCATCACAATCTCCATTTCATGGGGGTGAAGATTTAATAAAAGATTGGCGTAACCCTTTACCATTCTCAGGTAAACGAAGAGATGCGTGGCCTCTTATGTAAACGTCCATTCAAATATCGATTCCGATCGTGTTACCTGGCTCGACCTGGGAAACTGTGAAATGTCCATTGAGGGATGCAATTTTAAGGGGAAAAAGGATGGACCACGGTGTGTGCATACGCGTAAACCGTGGGATCGATCCTCGAACTCACTCCTTTCGGAATGCACGTTGATCGTTGCGCCAAGAATCGTCCATATTTGAATAGATGAAAATCCAACCGTGGGAGTGTATAAGTGATCGGGAATTTCGTAACATAGCTGAAAACTGAATCTTCTGGTATTGCAGATCACCTGCGTGGCGAACCAGGTATACATAAGTGCAGGATGACACGGTGGATGTGTCAACCGGACTGTGGGAATCGTATTCCTTTTTTCTGAACCATTATGACCATGATTATGTATATCGTTGTATGTGGAAGAATCTGAATTGATCCAGCTGAAAGTGAAATAACTTTTTCTTTTTATTTTCTTTTGAAAGTCGGTGAAAAGGGAAAAGATGGAATGGCAAATTCTATGATATATATAAGTGCATAGGATGTTGATGGATTTTAAGTATTGATTTCTATTATTTAAGAAAATTTGGATGATTGCAGAAATATGTAAAAAATGGATTTTTTTTTAAATAATATACATATTTTTCTTGATATTATTCTAAAACTCACCATTAGTGAATTTTCATTGTTTGTAATTGGAATAATTGTATGAAAAGAGTTAATCTTATTATTATTACATATTATAAATTGTTTAAAATTTAATCTAAATTAATAATAATCGTTTTTTTGTTCCAATATCAATCCAATGAAATTTCAATTTCAGTTTTTACACTGAAGTATCATTCATATCAAAAAGATTGATAAGAATTAAAAAAAAAAAACTATATTAAAAGGGCATTTCTTGTATTAATTTTGAAATTTTCACCTGGTTATTTATTTTCTTTTCATGTTCTCGGCTTCCGTAGTGATGCTTTTTCATCTGTACAGTGTCATTCGATACTATTTACATTTGACCACTTAAGGATAGAGGCAGTAAACGATCTTCGATTCAACAATGCTCGAATTAAAATCAAGGGATGTTCCTGATTTTAAAAATAGTACATTCGATAGTCGGACACTGCAAAGTTTCACACGAGGCGTCATGGGGTACAGAATCTGCTTTTACCCTCTCAATGTCCATCCGGTCACTTGCTTTTGTATCTAAATTTGTATTTTCTCAGGAAAAAGACATATCCAATATTTCTTTGAGATTAGATCAACTTTCTTTCTTTTAGAGAACTGTAAAAAAAGAGAAAATAAAAGAAATTTTAGAATCTTATTGAAGAATTAAATTCTAATAATTTTATTTGAAATGAAAAGTTTATTTTTACCAAGTTCACTATTTAATTAAATACATAAAAATTAAAGAATATGTACTTTCATTTATGAAAATGAAGATATAATAAAGATTACCATAATCACGTTATGAAATGCACAAGAAAATAAAAAAATGCTTGGCAATTTTCAATATGGGTCAACATCCGAGTTTAAGTACAGAGAGTAAATATCGCTCAAGTAAGAAATTACCAATAAACGAGCAATCCTTGTCTCCTTTTTATATTATCTCATTATCGACGCGTGAGATGATAGTCGAAGGATTTTTACAACCTCGGATAGGATAGAGAGATCGTAAGATTTTACGAAGAGGTTTCATCCTCTCTCATGAGGGGGATGGTTTAACATGTAGCCTGTCACGGAAGGAACAAACCACATTTCGCCCTAAGTAAACAGCCATAGAGGTTCGCATTATGCAACCTGATGTGACCGGACCATAGATATTTCCTTTCGCTTCTCGAGTACCAATATACTCTTTTTTTTTCTTCTTTCTTTTTTCCTCTCTTCTTTTCTTTACACGAAAATTGCGGATATTCATTGGTTACGTCCGGATATGTTTTCCAAGCCTCGTCCCTTCCTTCTGTAACACTATACGAGAGGAAAAGCAAACAAGAGATTATTGGAAAAATCGCGACGATTTTTATTAATATTAATAACCTTGAAAGCTTTTTAATAAAATTCAAAAGATATAAATCTAAATAATTACTTTGATTAAAATTTTGTATCTTGACCAAACATAAAAATCAAATATCAAATCAACAAAACACGTATATCATCATTAGTAATAGCTTAGGGACATTGACCGGAACTGTTTCGTTTTGCATTTCGTGCACGAGGGCGTTTATTTCCGCAAATGGACGATTCATCCTCTTCCGTCGACAATACCATATGCATTAGAAAGTACGAATAATATTGTTCGTCCTTTGTTAATATTAATACTCTATGATCGCTATTTAAACTCTCACGCCCTCAAAGATGATCAATGGTAGACCTGAAATCAAGCGAGGTAAATAATTAAACATATAATGATGTATCTGATGTTATATACTGTGAAGAGGAAATCGTTAATAAGTGTGCTTTCGAATGATTGAAATTAATGTAATTTACGAAAGAAAAAAAAAAAGGGTTCCTTTTGATGGATGGTTCTCGACCAGGTCGTCATCATTAATTCAATCCTTTCTCGACATGCTCGATCAGAAAAGGTCAGACGATTAATATGATACGTTTTAATTAAAATGTAGAGATATATTGTGACGAGATGGATAGATATGCTGATTAACATAGTATAATACGTTTAATGACCGGTAACGGAATAACAGTCTCATGGATATTATTTATCGTTAAACACATCAAATAGATTGATACTTTTCTATTGTCTTTCCATAATGTATTATAATATTTGTTTCTTCATTATGATGAATTATTATCTTTGTGAATGATTGAGTATATATATATTCCTTTTGAAGCATAAATTTATTGGAATCATAAATAATAATTATTTTCCATTATCAAAAATGTTGTATAGAAAATATATGTATTAATTTTCCTAATTTTCCTAACAAAGTGGCAAATTATACATCTTTATATAATTATCAACTCCGAGTCAAAATTTTTTTCAATTCTTGCAAATTGAAGATCTTCCATTCACATTCTAAAAATTCCTCAAAGACGGTTCTTGAAATTTCTCATGTGTTACTCAACAACAACGAGTAACTCGTTATCGAAACAGCACATCCACATTCGAAGAGTTCGCGTACTCCTTTCTTGTAACAAACATTCCTGAAGGAATGTTCTGTTTCTACGATTACCCTTCTAGTTTATGAGCAAGTTACGCTTGAAAATGGTCCGCGTGGCTTTTTCTCCTCCTCTTTTTTGAATGCCTCAAGAGAAGTTGGCGATAGTCGGACGAGTGTGGATAAGGTTTATCGTGGTGTACGGCCGTGTACGGTTGGAAACACGGCGGTTACTCGCGCGCGAGTAACGCGCTGTTACTCACTCCCCTCGTAAAGTATACAGATAACGGGTAACTTTAGTCGCGGCTACAGAGGTGATTTAAATGGCCACTTTGCCTAATTGCGTTATGTTTACGAGCCACGGAAATCGTAGGCCGGCCTGATAGCAGTGTCGCGGAAGCAAGAAAACGCAATGCATGCACTTCTTGGAGACATTTTATAATGCTGCAGTACTGATGGCCGCAGATTTTGGTATTTTTTTTTTTTCTTTCGAAGAGGAAGTCTTGCTGTGATGTGTTTTTTTAAGATAATGTTGCGTTGTTTTATCTGTGAAGAAGTTTTGTTGTATTTTTAAAAGAAGCTCAGGATATATAAACTTTGGTGATAGGCTTATGCTACATTGTTGATGATTGCAAATTTTGATATTTTTTTTACTTTTGAAGAGAAAGTATTATTGTAATTTTTCAAGATAAAAAACTATTTTTGTTTATGAATATTTTTTTAAATTATAAACAATTTTCAATAACTATTTCAATAATTATCTTATTTTCATTTAAATATTGAAAAATAATTAACCTGATTGATTTCTTTTTTCCATTTTTGTATTTACGTCGTTATTTGCTCAAGGCTGATTTAAACGAGCACTGATGGCATGTGTTCATGGGAATATATTTTAATTATCACTTCTATCCTTGTTTCAATCTCGTTGAAGAGATATATCGAAAGGCGTGTAGGCAAAAGAGGCAGGTGCCGCTTCTTGAATTTTAAGATGGTCTATTGGCTCTCGATCTGCTTCAACCTGTTATTTTAAAACAGATAATAGATATTAATTCGATTTAGTTTTCAAGTATATTATTTAATTCTTTAATGAATCAATATATCGTAATGACTGAATCATTTCATTGTGTATTGTAATTTTATTATATTTCAATATAAGCAACAAAATTATTAAATATAGTAATTATTGCAACCATATTTGTATATTTGAATTTTTATTCAAAAATTATCAATCTTTCTTTTTTTTCTTATTAGCATTAAATAATATATGACAAATAAATTTATTCAAATTTATTCAAATATTATTACATAAATTATATATATAAATTTTTAAAAAAAACTTTTACAATACAAACAATTTAAACAAGATTAAAAATTTCATACAAATATGCAACGATCATTCAAAATGGCGGTCGAAATAAGATTTGAGAATAAGAAATTGAAAGATCGGTAAAGAGGTGGAAAGAAAAGAAAAAGAAAAAAGCGAAAAAGAAAAGATAATTATAAAGGTTCAGAGGGCTGTAAGGGCAGCTGTGCTTACTCTCACCTGGCTCTTTCTCTGCACCATCGGCGACATCGTAGTCCGGAAGATACGGTGAAGAACCAATAACTCGAAGCTTGTTCCAAGAGATACCCGAAGAACACACAAATACTTAACGATGAGATAATTTTCTCAGGTTATTGTTTGTGTTTTTTTATCATAGCCATAGTTCGTTCATGTATATCTTTGATAAGGAAACATTCACTCTAGACACTTTTTTGTAAAACACTTTTTTTTAGACAATACAATTATTTTTTCCTATTGTCTACAATAATAATATTTTTTTCTTTCGTTGAATTCATAACTGAAAATTCATAAACGAAATTCTTTATAAAAAGTCTATCATTTCAAATTATATAAAGATCAGGAAATTCTTTTTTTCTAGTTATTTATAGTTTTCTGTGTGGCGTCTACCGAATGTCGACGTTAATAACATGGTCATATAAATCATTGGTTTTTCAGAATTTATCGGTATATACGACAGACGGGGCTGATGCATTTATCGCCTAATTAATCGGATTATCCGAATGACATGCGCCGGCATTTTAGTAGCGTTGCACATCTGCGAAATTGAAACAATAAATAGATCGATGCAGCTGTTTCAAAAAAAAAAAAAAAAAGATAAAAACTACACTTGAAGAAGAAAAAACGATGTATTTATTATTTGATGAAATTACTTTATTATCTTTACTCTTCTCGAGTGCCAATCAATGCGTAATTTAATTCTTTAACCTCGAATAATGTGGAAATTGTATTCTACATATTTTATTAATTTTCATAGACAATGCAATTTCATATTGAATTTTTTTGTATCTAAATATTAAATGCAGATCCAAATTTTACAATAATTCGCTTATTTGTTATTGAATTTTTTTTTATTTATCAATGGACTAAATAATATATTTTTTTTATGTATATTACATTTCATAATTAAAAAGTATAACTCAAAACTATCAAAAATGAAGCTGCATTTGTCTTGTAAAATCTTCAATTTCATTCGCGATTTTATGAGAAAAATTGCTTGTTAATATAATTTACATATTACGTTAATATAAATTACGTATTACGTATTATCTAACATAACCTAATATCTTATACTATTCATTATTTAATGTTACAATCAAATCTGTTAACATTATAATCAAAATAATAGATTTCATATTTTTTGTTTTATAATTATCGAAAATATGAAAACGATTTTATCGAAATTAATATTTTATAAAGAAATATAATTACCTACTTATTTTTATGACATTATTTTAATCAATCATTTATATATAAAATAGATATTTATTATAGTTCTAGTCTTAAAGATTATATAAGATATTAGAAATTAGAGATAAAAATAAATATATATATAAGTATCCATGTTAAAATCTAACCTGTGGCATCATGTTTCAATAACACATGTAATCACAGGACAAGTAGCATACTATACGCTTTTTTCAACGGCTTAATACAGTATACGAGAGATATTTAATCGAACGAATCTTCTTTATCCATCCTTCAGGTTGTCGGATTACATTTCTTGTAAGGTAGCGATCGTTATCACGACTTGATACCTCTCTCATGGCAAATTACACGGTTAAACACGGGTTGGCGACGAGAGGAGTAGCAATCGGCGCGTCTTTAAAGATTTCAATCTCATCGGTCGTAACGAGTTGTGACACGCTCCGTTGCCCTCTTCACACTCTCGCCAATCCTTTTGCTCGCGACGACAGCGCCAACGAGGGAAGGATAAGTCGTTGCTTTCGAAATCGTTCATTCGTGCGATCCTAACCTTAAAGGATAATTTCGACGGGCATTATGTGATATTTCGAGATTCTTGTATATACGAAAGTTTAAATTGTATGGTTTCGATGTGCATCGAAGTGAATTGATATAGAGTAAGATACTTTTTTCTATAAAGGATTCTAAGGATAATTAAGGTAATCCATGATTGAGTTCGAAGATTTTCTTCGGAATTAGAAATATGAATAATTTATTTGATAAAATCTGCTTTTTATGAGAAACACATGAAGGATAAATGAAAATTTGATGAGAATTACTTTAAGGAAGGTTAATTTAGATTTTAGATTATATAGATGAGTACAATATTGAAAAAATATGATTTGATATGAAACTATTGTAATTCTATATTAAGTAATTCAAAACTATCAAACGTTGTTACTATTTTTTTTTCCAGATTTTTTCAATTAACTAAATAATACTATATAAAATAAATTAATATATGATTACGATATACAATAGAGACCAAAATAAATACAAAAATTGTAGTTTGTTCTTAAATTAGCAACAAATGCGTTAGACGAAGCGAAATAGAATCGATAAAATCGATAAAATAAACTATCAAATAGAATCGATTAGATTGACGAACAGATAGAATTGTCAATTTTAATTACTTATAAATAATAAATAAGTCTCAAATGACATTTTTATATTAACTTTTTTTAAATTTTTTTTTACTTTACTTTCTTATTTTATCGACTACCATCTAAAATAAAAAAATTGCATTCAGCAATGCTTTAGAGATTAAAAGCTTTTTCAGATTTTGTCATTCAATGTGATTATAAAGGCGAATATATACAGACACTGTATCAGACAAGTCATCTTGCCAAATACAAAGTGTCCTTACCTAATACTTATTCTTATAATTCTAATTCTGAACAAATTCTTTTCTACCAGATATATATCAAGTCGAACTAAACATAACATTTCGCAAGTATGAAAAATCATACATTGTATTGCGTCATTGTAGGCATCAGATTTACGTTTCCGCCATATTTTTCGTATTTATTTTTCGATGAAATCGTATCTTTCGAAATGAAATTTAAAACGGGAGTCTCATTGCAAAATTTTAAACTTACTCTTTTGACATTTATAACTAAACATTCTTTAATTCTTTATTTCAAATGTTTTATAGATTATCTCGATGAATGCATTTAATTTTCTTCTTGTGAAAACAATTTCGTGAAAATAGCTACGAAAATTTTACATGGACAGATTATGAAAAATGTGATACTTGAAGCGGATATTCCAATAAATAATAGTCATATAGAAACATTCGAATATTCATTTAAAATATATATATAAAAATTGAAGATATTTGAAATAAAATATTTAAATCAATAAGTAATTTCATACATTATAACCTTGAATGTACGTAAAAATTATATCTTTTTAAAAAATTAAATTTAGAACATAGTTTATTATATGTAACATATTTTTTTAAATTTAGAATAATCCTTCCATTTTAGTTTCAAAGGACGTATAACCTTCCCACAGAAAGGATCGCACGTCGACTGTTCCATTTCCGATTGGAAGCGCAAGAATGTGTTTTACACGGACGTTACTTTGCGGTAACGACACCAGTTTCTATAACTTATGGTCAACCTTGACTTTCTAAGCAATCTAAAAAGCGGTAACGATGCAGCATCCATGAGCTAACGGTCCGATGTCTGTAAAGAGTTTAACTGGTGGGACGCAATAATTCAGGTTCGTCTATGGTCAGTGTGGAGCCAGCTGAAAGGGCTAAGATATTTATGGGTTGCAGCTGATCTTGGTCCATGTAGAGCTTTTTCACAGTGAGAATAAAACTAGCCTCGATGTCATCCATGTCTTTCTTTCATTGATCTATATACTTAGTATTGTAACTATATTTTTTTTTATAATTCTAATATTAGTTTATTTAAAGAAATCTAATAAGGAATCAAAATTTTTTTATTAACTATGATTCAAATCTGAAAAACTAACTCAAAGAAAAAGCCATAGTCACTAGAGCTAACTTTCCAAATCTCTGTTTATCTCAAAAATTGTCTCTGCAGCTTTATATCAACGCATGATCGCATATGAGCACAAAAACGTTCCAAGCCATTGATAATCCTTGGAAACTCGGTATTGTAGTATACGTCTTTCGGAAAAACCCTTTCACGGCCAAGAGAATTCTTTCACTATAAGTATAGGTATAATTCGAGAAAATCTTCTTTATGGTTCACCATGTGAAACATATAGTATTGAAACATACGTAATAAATGGCGTATATAAAGGGTGTTTCTCGAATCTAGGTCAAACATAAAATAGGAAAAAACAAATAAAAAATTCATGAAACAAAATTAGATTCAAAGGAATTGTATGTTTATCAGAAAATGTGATTTTTATTTGCTATAGAAAAAATTTAAAATAGAAGAAGAGAATATACAAAGCTCTATTTATTTTTTATCTTTCTAAATTTTTAAATAACTTTATTTAGTAAAATTTCCATCATTAATTTTCAGATAAACTACAACATCGAAGCATCAAGTTATGTGGTAATGCCACTAGAAGGAAAAAAAAAAAAACAAGAAACAAGTAACCCCTTTGAGTCGAAGAAGGTACATGCACCGATGGTTAGAGGAGAGAAAAGCGGTGTTTTGACGGGATACGAAACGATACTCTGGTTTCGTCTCTGTAGAAAGTTTTCTTTGACCGGATACCGTAGGTAACGCTAATGGAAGTTGGTGCAACATTCGAAGGTGGTAGCTCGTGAAACGCGATCAGGATTTAACCCTCCGCGATTCCCTCCCCGCCAGCTTTGCTATCCGTAATCCGCCTACGTCGAGTGGACACAGTGAGCGCACAATATCGAAGAAATCCCTCACTCGGTTCCCTTGTTACTCACGCCATATGTGGTCCAATTCGAACAGGCTCGTGGCAGTATTACTATTTTCGTCACGTGTCGTTACCTGATGCGAGATCGAGTTTCGCCGTTAGCTAACTTAGATTGTTTCTTTTTCTTCTCCTTTTTTCTCTCTTGTTTTGATTTGAAAATGTTACAAAACAATGTTTTCTAATTTGTCCTGAGCCGCGATCATTTCTTATAATATTTATAATTTTTGAGTAACTTCTTCTATCAATAGGAAATAAAAGAATTTGAAAAAATTAATAGTAAGATGTTAGATATTAAAAAAATCATTTTAGTATTTTTATAGAATATGAAAATGTAATTATATTGAAAGTTATTAAGTAATAACGACTTCTTAAAAATACTCTTTGATTGAATTAACAATTTGCTATAATGGAGATAAAAAGCACGCGTTTGTTTTTTTTGATCAAAAAAAGTCGATATGCAAAGAACTCGCGTATAAATTAAAATATTTATATAATTTTACGTTTATCATGTTTATATACGAAATATATTTAAAGTGATTCAACATCTAAAGGAAGAAGAGATAGCAACATTTCCGCAATCATTTATTGAATTTCCGTGTTATTGGTAAGATACGTGTCAAACAAAGCAAAG